TTTTTTCTGCCAGAATTTCGTAAGAAATGTTTGGAAACCCAGCCACAGTGTTGAGAAGATGAATGTGGTTCTCAGTGTTTCTGCCTCTTTAAATGGAAATTTCCACTAAACATTGTACATACACGTTTCCTTTGATCACTTGTCACTAATAGGCTGAGAGAAAAGTGGCTTTGAACTGCTACAAAGTTGTTTCCTGGTTTTGCTTTGCCAATGCAGACGTGTCAAGTCCTAATATAGATCCTACTGGGTGTTTAATTAAAACCAGGACGCCTGTGATCTCTATCTTGTGTAATATGTAGTAGTTTGAAAAGCCTTTTTTCTCAACATGTGAGTGACAGGTGATCAAGGCAAACATGAAAATATGATTTGTCAAATTTAGTATGTCCTTTTAGGCAGATGACTAGTTGGATAAATATCCTGCGAGTGTGAAAAGTCACAGGCTTTGTTGCTAAAGTAGGTCAGAAAGATGTGTGTGACAAGGTTTTATGAATTCTTATGAACATTTCCATACTTTATTAAGGTATTCATTCATAAATGTCTCTTTAGGGCTGGTAAATATACTGCTTAATATTGGCTTTTGCAGCACTGATATCACAGAAGGCTGCAATATGTAAATGAGCCCTCTGGCCTATTACTAAGTCTTTTATTATGGGAGCATCATGATTTCAGCCATTTCCCAACACTCCAGATGAGATTCTGTGGGTGTTTGGATGAAGCATGACATTTGGAGCCATCATTTTTTAAAATACTCCTTATATCAAGGATTTACCAATGTTTTTAATAGATTATAAATTTAATTGTAAGTGCAATTAGACCATATATTACTTATTAGTAGTGGATATAAAATCTGGTATGTTTTAATAAACCATTTTAAATAAAACTATTTGAGTAGACTTTCTACTTGAAAGACTGCTGTTGAGTAATCTTCACTCTGGCTCAGCCTTTTGCTAACACTCAACAACCATGGGCTCCTCTAAGCAGCTGTGTGAGGATTTGAAGATAATTGATACCTGAAAAGCACAGAAAGGCTATAAAAAGATATAAAAATATATCAAAGTGCTTCCATCTCTGTCCAAAATGTCATTAAGAAATGTCAATTAAGATGAACTGAAGAAGTCAAAGAAAGATTTGAAGACCAAGAAAACTCCCAGAAAGAACTGCTTGTATTCTGGCCAGAAAGGCAAAGCAAAACCCCCACATGACTGCAAAGGACCGGCAGGAAGGTTTAGCTGCCACACGATTGGTGGTGCCCCACTCTACTGTGTACTGTTGCTTGCACAAACATGTTCTGTATCAAAGAGCCATCTGAAGGAAACCTGTGATTACCTGTGACCAAAACATCTAGACAAGCCACAAAACAAGTGCTGAAGGCTAATGAAGTAAAATGTATCTCTTTGGACATGCTCATGTTTAGAGGAAAAAAGGAGCAGCATCTGATGAAAGGAACACCTTGCCAACTGTTAAGCATAGAGGTAAATCTGTTGTGTGGCACAGGAAACATTACATGAGTAGATGGTAGATTGGATTCCACTAAATATTAACAGTTTCAGACACAGTAAAGCTGAAAAGAGGTTGGCTTCGACTAGAGGACAACGATCTAAAACATAACTTAAAATACCCTGAACTCCTTGAAGAAAGGCAAGCTGAAGCTTTTGGAATGGTCCAAGAACATCGCAGAACCAGAAGCGTTCTGCATGGATAAGTGGGTGAAAATTCCTAAAACAAGAATAGAAAGTAGTGAAAATGTGCCAAAGGGGTTATAAGTGTGAGTATAAGATGTTTATTCTTGTATATTTCCAGTTTCTGTCACAAATTGTGTGCTGAATTGTTAAAATAAATTAGCTTAAATAATGCCAAGCTCGTCGTGTCAGTTATATGACAGCGCCAGTGTCTTTGACCTTGCTTTTTCCCTGTTTTTAAATCTAGCTGTGACCTGTTTACAGCATTAGTTAAGCTCTTCTGTTCCTATCAGATAAGAACTGCTCCACTGCCGTCACCGAATGCACATCTCTGGATAAGACATGCCAAAACAACGGCACCTGCTACATCGTGAACGGAGACTTCCATTGCAGATGTCCGCCAGGTATAAGTTCTTAATTCGTATAATCCAGCGATTAGCACCTTTGCGCAAAATTGTTTAGGGTCATTAACGTAATGTGTTCTGTTTATCTTCGTATATCAAAGGCGCTTTGAAGCGAATTGCATTCTTTCATCTGATGTTTTGAAATGCAACTGAAAGGACGTGGGAGTTTGTGGTAATCACTTTGTGCCATCTTGTAGGCAATCATCGTAATGTTTTCATTTCTCTCGTCCACTGTGGCTCCAGGCTGTTTGGTAGCCGTTGTTAATCCCATTTGTTTAGCCCACAAAGAAGCACCAGACTTCTACTGATTACTTAGTGAGCCCATTTGAAAAAAAGGGTGGAAAAGAAGCTTAAAAGCTCGTTTGAGAAGCACATTGGAGTGTAATGGAGAGCATTTGCTTAAGAATAAAAGTAACAGTGCACCCTCAACATTTCTCTCGCGCTGCAGTTTGATAGGCCTGCCTCTCATCCATCAATTTAATTACGCCGCTGCTTTTGGCTCAAGGTAGGTAAATGCGTAAAGCATCAGTAATGGCATCTGCTAACAACTAAGGGTACAAAAGTGATGGAAGAGTTACGGAAGTGTGAAAACGTAAAAGGACACATTGCATCCCCAAAATGCTAATGCAAAAACAAACAAACAAAAAAGGTGGAGAGGCCAGTTCTCCAGACTCACACCGTCCTGTCTTCACGGAGACTCCAAAATAAGACAACCAGTCTAAATGACGATAATGTCAATAATTGTGTATATTTACTGTTTATTAGCTATTTCTGATGGCCATTACAATGCATGCTGGTCCTGAAGAGCAGCACCAGTCCAGTTTTAATATATATAATGCATTTAAAAGTTATTGCAAGAAGTTATTGTTAAGAAAACCTGAACACAGCCTGAATTTACAGATTCCAAGAATGCAGTTCTTTTCGAGTAATAAAGTGTTTTAAAACTCATGTTTAGTTATAGTGGTGAAACATATACTCTCGTACATACTGTGCACATGCATGTATTTGGTGGACCTTAGATGTGTTTGTCTGCATTCTGTGTCCGTACATTTGGGAATTTGTGATGTAGTAGCACAACATTTATTGGGAAAAATGTAATATAAACAAAGCAGTTCACTTATTTTGGATGGGCATTTTTGAATCTGGGATATCTGACAATGTTTTTCAGGATGGTTCTGAAAAACGTAGTCTGGAGCTCTGGTTTCAGGAGCCTCTTAGGGCCCCAAACCTCTTTCCCACAAGTTAATAAACGGAATGGAGTGGGCCCCCACCAGGTGGGATGATGCTCAGAGCCCCCCAGAATGTTCAGAAATGGCCTATTCTGACGGGGCCAGACAAGATCTGGGGACAACACATCTGGGGACAACTTGTCAAACTTAACGTTCCAAGTACAGTCGGTAAACATCATCGTTAGCTAACGTTCCTTATTCAAAACTAATGTTTCCGGAACGTCATTTTGTCCAGCCATGAAGCCACTTCAGATGCTTGGTCTGAAGACAGTCGCTCAGGTCTCTGCATCCTCTAAAGCTGAAGTGTCGTCTAGTTTAATGAAACTGTTTTCATTTCTACCGCATGTCATGTGTTCTGCATACTCCTTAGTTGTTTTTTTGAAGGGGAAACTTTTTAGAACATACTTAACATTATATCCATGGACTCACAGCAGGCCTGTTGTCCATCAGACAGTGTTGACGAGCTCACCGTCACCCCCTACTTTGAGCTCTGTCTTCACAAGACATTGGATTTGTTTAGAAATTTCACACTCAGTTTGTTCCCGTCCACATTTAACCCATAGGGCCCCCAGATGCTCTCTCGACCCTGAGGTGCACTTAAGACATTTAGGTCTGCTGATGTACCAGAACAAAGACGGTTTTATGTGAACTCTTCCTAAAACTCTTTGTTCCTTTAGAACTAAACCAAATTATTTAAAAAGAGCCCTGTTCTATTTAGCCAACCTCTATTATGCCTCATTCATAAGACAACACTCCTTATAACTGAACAGATTGATATATAATTTTTGTTTTTTAACAAATCCGGAGAGTTCCAATTCAGCTGTTTTTGCAGGTTTAATTATCATTTATGGTCCGTATGGTCAGGAATGGGATGGTACTTTATTTATTTATTTTTTTTGAAACAAGGCCTTTTTATTGTTTTTAGACAATAAAAAAGAAAAATGAGAGAACAAACAAAAACCCTCCCAGCAACACCCCATCTGTGCTGCACCATTGCACCATGAAAGGTCATTCAACTAGTATACACACACACACGTGTATATACACAGATATGAAAACACTATTGTTATATAATTATATAATACAGTGAGAAGAAAAGTGATGCTGATTTAAAAAGGAAATAAACAAACAAATAATTAAATAAACACATTTTTTCAAAGGGAAATTTCAAAAATGTGGAATATCGACCGAGTCCATGTTTCCTACATGTGCCAAGACAGGTTGCCAGGTCTTATAGGACTTATGACCACAACCAGTCACAAAGTACAAACTTTTCTAGACTCACGTAATGCGTTAAATCCCTTACCCAGTATTTAAAGGTGGGTGGGAACTCATCCTTCCATTTCAGTAGAATAAGCCGCCTGGCTAAGGGAGTGGCTAAAGCAATCGCCCTTTTGGCCGAGTTATCTTAGTGAGACTCCTGTAAAGTCACTCCGAATATTGCAGTAATAGGAGATGGCGTCCATGATCTCTTTATTAATTAATTTAATTTAGCCAGCCTAACAATGGACTATTTTAAACTAGATGATGGTGTGCCTTAAACAAATTGAAGAGGAGTGGGTGGTACTTCTTTAAACAATGTTTGTTTACATTTCACAACAAACTCTTACTTAAAAAAAAAAAATGGAAAACTGCCCCGATATGAGCCCTTTGATGTTGTCTTTGCTCTTTGACCCTGATCCACGCAGGATTCGAGGGAGACGACTGCTCCACAGTGACCAGAAGATGCTTGTCCGATCCATGCGACGTCCGAGGAACGTACATGTGCGAAGAGCTGGGGGGCACTTATAAGTGCGTGTGCCGTCATGGCTTCACAGGGAGACTGTGCGAAATTCCCATCAGCCACTGCATCGAGGGGTTGTGCCATCACGGGTCCAAGTGTGTGGACCTTCCCCGAGGGTTCGTGTGCGAGTGCTTGCCTGGTAAGTGCGACTATATTTTCACTTTGTCGTATTCTGTACACCCACAGCCCATTCATCCATACAGCCGTCAAATCTGTCCTAAATCTGTCTCTGTGACAGGTTTCAGCCAAACTGATGCAGCTGCGAGGACACCGGAGTACATCATCACGTTGGCAGTGCATGAAACATCAGCTTTGCCTCTGAATACTTATTTAATGACAGTTTCCTTTACAGACCTTGATTGATTACAACTTACTGCACAGCACAATGAGGTTTATGAAAGCCAGCCTGCACTCTGACTGGGAGCTTCATCCTTTATCCTTGCCATTAAAGCTTTGCTTTTCACGTGGGTGGCCAGGTACTCAGAGGCGGAGCGTGCTGTCAGATCATTTCTTTTCCTGTTCTGTCGTCAGGGTTAACCGGACGATTTTGCGAGATCAACATCGACGACTGTGCCAGTAAACCGTGCGGTGCCCTCAGCATCTGCAAAGATGGCATCGACGCCTACGACTGCTTCTGCGCACCTGGTTTCATCGGTAGGTGTGAGAATCACTAGAGGCCCCGCAATGCAAAATTATCACCTTAGCAATGATCCTGCAGATCCTTAAAGTCTAAAAGTATATCTGAAAAATTTAAGGTCATAAAATGTCTGAAGGTAACTTTATCTTTCAGAACTAGTCACCTTTCAGAAGTTAATTTTTGAAAATCACATTCTGTGTTGGCATTCTGAGATTTTATCTGCCGTGTACCAGTGTGGCTGATTAATATGGGAAAACTAAACAAAATTCATGTTTTACCAGAGACATTATAAAGGAGGAGGAGACAATGCACTGGTTGAAAATGAATGGGAAGAAGTTAGTTAGCAAAACTCATTGCTGTGAGCAACATTTAAGACTTATGTTAGGGGGGTCAAGCCATTTCAATCAACTACATAATAGGTATAAAACCTGTATTTAGCAAATAATCTATATCATATATATATAAAATATAATATTATATATATAAAATATAAATGATGTCCTACCATAGTGAAGTGCAAGCCCGCCCACCAGGCACAGCATCAAAGGCACGTGAATGACCTGTTCAGTACTCAGCACTGCAGTGTCAGACAGTCTCATCTAGATTTTCAGTCTATGCAAGCAAGAGAAGTTCCTTTCGCGTGATGCGCTGCTCATTTGCACGGTCAGGAGCCGCTTGAAAAGGTTCCTGACGTTGACTAGGCGTATCTCCCAGATCCGATGCTTTAAAAAGGGCTGATCATTGATCGAAGCCGATTTCTTCTGATAGTGTAGAGTTCGCTCTACTCTCATCTTTTTGGGAAATCCATAGCAACAACATACAAACGCCAGGTCCACTTCAGTGTGTTCAGCATCTGATCCAGTCACCGCCACTTTGCCGGACTTCCTCCGTGGACGCTGTGGGCCTCGGTAGCTGTCAACTGTGAGCTTCCAAAGTTTTTGAAAGTCTGTCTGTTCAGAGTACAGACTGCGCTACTAGCTCGGCTCTCGGCCGTGGCACAGTTTAAAACCCCCAACCCCCCCACCCCTGCCTAATTTCCCCTTATTGGCCGACCTCAAGGGCCAAAGGCCTGTTGCCCCAGCTGTGGTCTGCTGTTCTACAGTGTTGCAGGGCCCTCGGCTTATCAAAGAGAGCTCACCTTGCAGACGTTACTCTATCATCATGATTGCATGCTTTGATATCTGTTTGACTGAAGGGAGAGGTTTATTTATTTATTTATTTATTTCTCCACATCATTAACTGTAGGTTATTTTATTTGGAAAGGGGGCTGCCTGTGGCCTCGACGAGTCAACAGCTAGGGGACCCTTAATGAAGTGAACCTTTCCTGCTTCCTTCCCAGGTAATAACTGTGAGATTGAAGTAGACGAGTGTCTAAGCCAGCCCTGTCAGAATGGAGCGTCCTGCTCGGATGAGCTTAACTCCTTCAGCTGCATCTGCCCGAATGGAACCGCAGGTACTAGCTGATGTGGGATCAGCGTCATTTTACCTTAATTATAACAAAATATGCAGACACCAAACTGAGGGCATTTTCTTTGTTTTTATTATTTTCAACTACATTGAAATAGTGACAGCCAAATGAATTAGCACACATGGAATATTACACTGTCTGTGTTTACATGCAAAGATTTCCTCCAATCCGATTGAATAAATTCCGATAATAGATTAAGACTGAGGTGTTTATTCTCACTCTACTCAACAATCTGATGAAAATCTCTGTTTACATGCTCACTACAAGTAATCCGATCCAAAATTACACGCGTAGAGAACCACTTAGTGTAGACGTTACCATGACAACCAGCATCACGTGAGTCCAGTCAGAGTGAGATGAGCAGCAGTGAGCAGTGCTTGTGTTTTTAACTGCTTTAAAATGATGTCAGACTCAGGAAAACGTCCTTCACATGTCCTTATTAAAGAAGGCCGAGAGGAAGACGTCGTGTTCTGAGACACATAAGCTGGACGTCCGTCCCACCGCCGTCTTTTAAAGATCAGAGCATAAACTTCGTCTCCTCTGCAGACCAGTTTCTGCTCCGCCATGTTGAACGGTATAAACTTTCACTGTGACGCGACGAACATGATCAGAACGGACTTAAACTTTCCGATAGGGAATGTAATCAGATACAGGCGTTTACACTGATATTATTCTTATGATAACCTAAAATGATCATAAACTCAGAGATTTAAGAGAGATTTAAGACGAACATTGATAATTTGGAAATGAATAGACTTGAATTTATATTTACAATCACTCCAGCTGGTTTCCTGATACGTTTAATCTGCAACGAGAAACTGACAAACACTAAAAAGTCACAAAGCTGAAGTCAGTTTATTGTTTGTTAGCTTCTTGTTCGTATTCTCCCGTTCCACCTTAAACGGTGCAGCAGTTACATTCTGCAGCGTCAGGCACCATTTAAGGTGGAACGGGAGAATTCGAACAAGAGGCTAGAGAATGAGAGTCAATCTTCAGCCTCGTAAAAAGTCGAACGTTGAGAGACATTTTACAAGAAACTGATCTACTTTTGGAAAAGTTTCCTGCTGGAGATGTGAGAAAGGCGGCTATAGCTGAGCTAAAGCTTAAAGCAGAGCAAAGTGAGTCTGTGTTTTTCATTTATATTATATTTTTATCCTACACTAGAACATCAGCACATACTGAGACACATTTACAGCCAAGATGGTAAAATGGACATAAAATGTTGTGGCCCCCAAGGTGGTTTGATTTTTGTTGAAAGGACAAAATGGCTCTTCTTTACATTTGGGTTGCCGAACTCTGGCCTAGATTAAGGCTAGATTAAAAAGAATTTCCAATAGTGTGTCACCATTGGCAGTGCTGTTTATCCCAAAACTAGCCTTAATCTCTGTCAGGGAAAGCAGCCGCTAGTAAATATTTAATATTTTTCTTGTGTTTGTGGTTATAAATAAACAAACAGTTGAAATAACTTCATCGAAACTGTGAACAAAGACATCTGCTTTCCATCACCTCCTTGTTGTGAACTGCTTTATTACCACAAAGCTGTCAGACTGTATGACTAACTCTTCTGAACAGTATGAGTTCACACCACGCAATGCACTCTTTACACCAGATCTGTTTTGCTCATTGCTTGTTTCCTTAGTTTAAAGTTCACTTCAGCCCTTTTGAAGACAAAGTGTGCTGCGGTTCATGTCCAGCCAAATTAACTTTATATTTTCAAGTGTCATTTTGCCCCTGCAATTCTTTCATGTTCATGCAAATTGGTAAGGAAGCAGGCGCAATTAGCTGTCCTAGTCTAGCACAGTGCATATCTCAGTAACCTCCTGCCCAACAGGATGTTCAGCTCATCTATATATAGTTCAATCCGGGAGGTGCAAAGCGAGGAGCCTTTAAAAGGGATTCTAGATTGGGTTTTCCTTTTCTTCTCCATCTGCATACTGTAAGAACGTTTGATTATAATTGGTTGGCATGGGAATTTCGATGAAGCTCTTCCTCCTTGTTTTCTATCACTCTTTCTTCTTTCTCTTTCCCCGCTCCCTTTCACTCTCTCATTTCAGGCAGCTTATGTGAAATCAATGTCAATGAATGCCAGTCGTCGCCATGCCTGAACAACGCCACGTGTCTGGACCTTGCCAATGGCTTTGAATGCATCTGCCCTCCAGGCTTCACTGGTATGCAGTATAATTAATTATATGACAATTATATGCCACATATTTATCTCCATGAAAATAACAGTGGAGCGTTCTACTTGAACGGAGCCATATCCTATATCTTTCGTCATGATTCGGTTTTATAAAGCATCTCTCCATCGCTTTGATTTTACAGTGCCTTTAAAACTGATATATGTAAATGACCTCTGTTCTGATTGGCTTCAGTGTATTTTGCTGCTGAAACACTTTTTTATAACTTCAGCTTGACTCGGCGGGACTAAACTGTTGTAGGTGGATCTATACTACATGGCCAAAAGTATGTGGACATGTAGGTGATCATCACACGTAGATAAGCTTGTTGGACGTCCCATTCCAAAGCTATGGGCATCATATGTAGTTCCCGCATAACAGCCTCCACTCTCCTGGGAAGCTTTCCACAGATTTTGGAGTGTGTCTGTGGGAATTTGTGTCCATTCAGTCAAAAGAGCATTTGTGGGGTCAGACACTGATGTTGGACAAGAGGGCCTGGCTCGCAATCGACCCAATGGTGTTCAGTGGGGTTGAGGTCAAGGCTCTGTATAGGCCACTGGACTTCCTCCACACCAAACTGGTCATTCCATGTCTTTATGGAGCTGATTTGTGCACAGGGGCTCAGTCATGCTGGAACAGGAAAGGCTGGAAGCATATAATTGTGTAAAATGTCTTTGTGTGTTATAGCATTAACATCACCCTTCATGGGAAGTGAACCCCCAGCCCATTATCCCTCCCCCACCAAACTTTACTGTTGGCTCTGCATTCCAGAGGGTAGGGTTCTCCTGGCATCCACCAAACCCAGATTCATCCATCAGACTGCCAGATAGAGAAGCATAGAGATTTTTATGCTTTTTAACAGTCTGTGGCTCTGTTCTATGAGTTTATGTGGTCTACAGCTTCGTGGCTGAGATGTTGTTTCTCCTAGATGCTTCCATTTCACAATAATAGCACTTACAGTTGTCTGGGGCAGATCTAGCAGGGCAGAAACTTCACAAACTGACTTGTGCCTGAGGTGGCATCCTATGACAGTGACATGTTTATAGCCACTGAGTTCATCAGTGCAACCCAAGGCAAGGCTGTGTGCTTGATTTTAAACACCTCTTAGCAATGAATGTGGCTGAATCACCTGAACTCAGTAATTAGAAAGAATTAGAACATAGTTTTGGCTATGTAGTGTGTATATGTTGGTTTTCATGACATCACGAAAACACTGAGTTTTGTCCCGTGTGCTTTGAAACAGTTTGATTCAACAGCAGCCAGCAGAAAACAGCGGTTAGAGGTTTTACTGTGTTCCTGTGTAAGCTAACCCACAGAAGTGTTTTATGACCTCATCTAAACTAATCAAAGCCCTTCGACCAGTCCACAGTTCACTGGCTAATCTGCCGAACATTAACAAACTAAGATAATCGCACTAGTTTTTATTTTATTTATAAATATCGTCACGCATTTTCCATTAGGCCTCATTGCGCAGGCCACATTTTATGTTTAATCTGTTAAATTCAGCAGTTAAACAGTAATTGTGCATTAAAATGTGCAAAAGTTTGTTCCCTGTGGAGGATATATTTCATTTTCACTAAGAAAATCATACATGTATATGCAGTAAATGTATTTTTATTGGCATAACAGTGTTCGTCTTTTTATTCTCATTGAGCCACAGCAGGAAACAGTCATTATGACTGAAACAGATGATTACAGACTGTGAATTGGAGAGTGAGTGGAATGCTTTGATGTTTATATATTACATTACTCTTTAATTAAAAAAAAAAGAATAAAAAGCAAGGAAACTGTGTTTTTCCATTATATGAGCTCCTATAATAATTCCTACGTATTGCTTCTCAACTGTCAGAGCAGCAGCAGTACGGTTTGTGCTGTTTTCCCATTCCGGGTGAGTCTATTAGTAGCACACATGCATTGTTTTGAGAGTGTTTTTCGGAAGAACTTTTTCTCCCCTCTTCGTCTTTTTATAGGATAACGAAAGTCATTACCAGCTTGTCATGTTGGAGACCCCATCTGAGTATCCGTGCCCAAGTTTATTTGTTCCCTCTCTTTGTGTTTCCCCCTCTCAAAGGACCCGAATGCGAGCTGGACATTGACGAGTGCGCCTCTTCTCCCTGCAAGAATGGGGCCACTTGCATTGACCAGCCTGGTAATTACTACTGCCAATGTGTGGCTCCATTTAAAGGTAATAAGCACACAGGGAGTGAAGTGTGTGTGATGGGCAAAAAAAGCAAAGTTAATTAACTTCAGAAAGCTTTCCTCTCACCTGCCTGAACCCATTCCGCCAGCGTCGCCACTTTGGTACGTCTTCATTCTCTGGACACGCTCGAGGACAACCAAAAAAAGAGAAAATCACAGGAAATGGTGGCCCGAATAACAGAGGCCAGTTCTAATTTCAGCAGAGGCTGTCTCATGTCGTGCTACAGCGAACGCCGTGCTGAGGGGGGAAAAAAACAAAAAAACGCTCAAGGACACGTTTGAGGAGGCTTGGTACCAAGGGTGTACTTTAAACAAATAATTGCCCAGCAAAAGGTGGGTCTGAAAATCAGGTGCGCCATAAAGCGGCACTCAAACTGATTGGCATCATTAGCCGGATTGATTTGAGGGGTCAGAGGGAAGCTCTCTGGCTTGTGTTCATACTCATAGAGCTGTGTCTGATTTCCTCCAAGTTCCTTCTCTTGATCTGATAGGACTAATTAATTGCTTTGGTCCATTTCTTATTCATTTTAGGCCCAGTTTTATGACTGGCCAACTCTGAGTGCTGTTTTAATGCACCCAGCAACAGTGATCAATCATACTGTCAACGTTTAACTGGTGATGTGTTGTCGATTAAAAGCTGACAGTATAACAATATAAAAGCAGATTTGCTGTAAATGAAAAAGTCTTTGAGAAGCAGCAGCTAAAGTTCACTCTGCTTTCAGATTTTTAATAACTCCCTCCCACTTTCCCCCCAGAAATGATCAAAGGTAGGAGTTAAATGTTTTTTCTTTTTTCTTCTGTCTTAAAAATGCATGCGCTTTCCTCTTCAACTCCATCGCCACGCATGCCCTAATTTCTTTTTCTGTTGTTTTTATTTATTTATTTATTTATTTATTTATTTATTTTGATGTAGGAACGCATGTTATTTATTTTATTTATTTATTTTTTTTCCAAGCGTCTAATTTTAGGGCAGTACAATATGTTCAGAATTGCGACTCTGAGGGAGGCAGGGGAAGCTATTTTTGCCCTCTGTAAGCAGATGTAGCTGTGATGAGTTTTCCAGGCTGCTGTTGTTGCTTCGCAGGTGTGCCCCCACCCACCTTCCTTTAAAAGCATGTTTATGAAATGAGCTCAAACAGTTTGAAGTCAGCAGCCCTGCATGCCTCCGTGTGTGCGTGCGTGTGTTTGTTTTCATATATTTCCAAGACAGTAACGTCTCGCCATAATAAAATATAAGAACCGAATAAATATCCCTGACTTACAGTGATGTAAAGGAATTACGTGTCAGCCTTTATTACATAAACACCTGTTTTTTTGAGCTGATCGCGATTATTTTCCACAGTTGTAACTTTCACAGTAGGCTCTTTTCACATTTGCGTATTTTTTTTCTGCTGAAAGTACTTGTTCTAAGGTAGCGCTGCATCCGCTAAAGCAACAACGATGACGAGTAGAGCGTGTACAGCTCACTCAGGTGTTCGAGTTTGAATCAAAAGCAGCCTCGTCTCAGTTTCAGTGGTTCATCAGCTGATGAGGAGCAGAGGAGAATGGGTTTGTGTAACTTAACAAAGGAATAAACTGTCATACGCAGTTAAAGACCCTCTGGGTCAGTGTTTCAGCGCTGCTGACCAACGTTAACGTGCAGGTCGTGGTGTAAAGTTGTTGCTTCAGCCGCTTTCAGAGGAACAGTTTTCATTTCCTCCCTCTGAAGCTGTCGGTATCTGAGAGAGCGAGAGCTCGGCAGGGAGTAGATGTTCGTTCACTGGAGGCGGTATTTGTGTAAAGTGTCTACAGTGGCGCTACAGACCCTGACGACCTGGCGCCCCCTGCTGGTGTGTGTGTGCGTGTTTAGCTTTTTGCCAGCTAGTTTATTGTTAGCGATCTGTTTTAGCATCTCCAGCTAACATGGCTAATTGAGCGTTTTGGTTATAGTTATTTTCACCTTCGTTGATTGATCTCTCAGTGGAAGTTATCTGGCGTTACTGTGCTCTGATAGCGGTGAAGGAGTTTTTACATCCTTTATTTAGTTTGGACTCCCATATTGTTGTGTGTTTGGTTCTCCAACAGTTCTGGACTCATCCTTGAATGCCAATCTTGGCAGCTATGACAAAGATAAAGTGAGACACCTGTCTGTGATGAGCTGAAGTGATGGAACGCCTGTGTTTGTGAGGTTAAAAACTGACCGTAAGGCAACAGTGGAACTTGTTTTACCAGCGTTTACACACGTACGTTTCTTGTGAAAAGTCGCATACAGTGCGGTTTTTACATCACAGGTCCACTGGTGCTAAATCTACTCTCAGCTGTGTGAGTCAGTGAGTCTCTCTTCACCTTCATTTCAGCTTCCGTTCTTTTCAGGAGACTCACTTTCAGTTCCTCAAAGAATCTGCAGACACACCTCCAAAGTTCAGTCTTAGAAGCTGGTTGATGATTTTCTGAAGTAATCAAACACATTCAGTGGTGTTGAGGTCTGGACTCTGGGGTGGTCAGTCCAAGTTTCTAATTTTTTGGGCTTTTTGTTTTCACAGTAAGAGCTTCTTAACAGCAGCATGATTTGTAACTTGCTAGCCAACCATTTCACATTGTTTTGCCTCTTTCTCTCAAACACAGCATTTGCTGCATGTAGCAATCGATTCTGTCCAGCAGACTGAAGGTTTTTCTGTGACTAAAGGTTATTTAAGCTGTTTGAACCTGACGCCGGTGCTGACCGCGGGAGAAGAACTTCACAGTAATGATTACGTAGCAAAGCTAACAGGCGAAGTCGTACGCAGGGATGGCAGTCCTGATTTAGTCAGTTTGGTTTGTGTTATTTCTCTAAAGTTTCTTAAAGAGCCTGAATCTGTGTTTTCATCCTAATCAGGTTAATTTTCATCTTGCAGGCAAACAGTAAACATGCGCCAAGTTCACCCTTTGAATAATGTTCCACTAATCAATAAATTACCAATTATATTTCACCATATTTCTCTCCTCTCTATGTAAACTGGGTGGTCCTAATCTTGGGTAATGCTTCCGTAATCAGTCCCCTGACCAATCATAGGCTGCATCTCTGGCCCCGCCCACACAGAACAGCTTCAGTCAGAGAAGCTTAGCAAGCTAAAGCTAAACCAGCATAACCGAAATCTAGCAAGCTAGACCAGCTGTTTGTAGCTGCCTGTCGCCTGTTTATTTGTTTATCCGACACAAACATTGTTAGTTCTGTATGAGGGGCGGAGCAGGCTTGGACAGAGAGCTGTCAATCAAGCTGCTCATTAGCCACGCCCACACAGTTCTCGGACAGGTCTGATCAGCGGGTTTTAAGCTGTTTTAGCATATTTATATGTTATTTCACATTCACGCTCAGCTGGATGTTTAATGTAACACTCAAGTTTAGTATCGTATAAACATTTCCAATTCCAAGTCGAGTCACAAGACGAGTAAAAGGGCGAGGCGGGTCGCTGATTCAGTCCTCATTTGTACTTGTCAGACGTTCCTGTGCAGTGTATACAGTTTACTGGCGGCTCCAGTCGCTGCACTGTCGCCAATTATCTCACTGTATGTTGTACATCAAGGTTTTAAGTGCCAGCCTTACATGGCTGGTGTAAAGTCCCGCTGCAGCTTTGTCTTCATCCGTGGGTCATTAACTTTAAGCGTCAGTCTGTGCGGTTCACGCTGGTTAATTGACCACACTCCAGCTTGCAGCGGTGCACTGTGGGTAATTGCACAGGCCATTGCAATTGTATGCGTTTATAATTGTGCAAACATCTCAAAGCCTTCTCCACATCCCCTCTTCCCTTTAGCTAACTCTGTCTGACTGGCGAACGCACAGCACACATCCACATAATGTACATATTCATGAATTATTCCAATGAGCGATTTGCATTGCGCTCTCTTTCTTCCCTGTGCAGCTTTACTCAGCGTCCACGTGCATACGCTGATTTGCATGAGCGCTTGAAGAGTTGCCTTTTTTGGCTGCTTTCCAAATATCTTGAGTAAAAAGTAATAAAACTTTGGACTAAGTAAGAAGAATAACTGTCTTTCAGAGCTCTTAGCACAGTGAAGGTGAGCCTAACTCATACCGCCGAGCCCTGTTTGTGTTCAGTATACTTTGCACTCACTGATATTACTTTTTAGGGGTAATATTAAAATGTATTACCTTTTTGTTTGATGAGCATGTGTGTATAATGTATGGACCGACACCGACTTTCACTTTATTAGTAACGCTGTCCACTTATGTGTCCATCAGTCATAGGTCTATCATATAGAGCACGCTTCATTTACGTAATTTCCAGTCAAAATAATAATTAAGTACATATCATTCATTTTTTAGGAGAATAAAAACAGGAGCTCCCAAAGAGACATGGAGAAAATGGGACTCATAGCCAGATAAACGGTCCTTAAAGCTTGTAGAACCTAATAATATAATAATTTCCCAATAATGTAATAAGAGCCAGAAATATAATAGAATTAAGCACATAATTTGTTTAAAAATACAATAAAGCCCAATAATGTAATACAGTAAACTGACTAAACTGATAATGTAATTAGATTTTTACTGATGACATCATACCTTAGAACATCATTAGGAATTTATTCCTCTTTTCAGGCTTAATATATTTAATACCTTATTACATTATTGAGGTTTATTACATTTTCATCAAGTACAGTGAACACATTTCTTACATCTTTGGGCTTATTACATTATTGAGATCATTAAAATATTGGGTTCTCCGAAGCTTTCATCTTTTCAGGAGAAAATCAGGCTCCACTTGCTTCCACTGTGAGAAGACGACTCAGCGCTGTGGGTCTGAAAGGATGTGTAGCTGTCAAGAAGAACCTCACTGAGAAAAGGAGACGGACACATCAAACAAAGAAGCTGAACGATGGACTGACCACCCCAGAGTCCAGACCTCAACACCACTGAATGTGTTTGATTACTTCAGAAAATGATCAACCAGCTTCTAAGACTGAACTTTGGAGGTGTGTCTGCAGATACTTTGAGGAGCTGAAAGTGAGTCTCCTGAATAGAATGGAAGCTGGAATAAAGGGAGAGAGTGACTCACTGATAAATTTAGCCGTTCAGGTTGTGATTGTCTGTTAGATGTGTTTTCTGTTTTTTTTTCCTGGCGTTGAAAAGTGAATAATGTGCTCTTAATGGCCGCTTTGACTGGAAATTAAATAAATGAAGTGCGGTCTTTGGCTTTTGCTCAGTGCTGTAGGTGTATAATTGCAGACTGTAGCCCATCTGCTGCCATGAACAACCTCTACCCCGTTCATCATTGGTCAGTTGTCAGGGCCGCTGTTGACCAGGTATTATTTTGAAGGTGGGCCATTTTCACAGCAGTGACCCTGACATGGATGTGGTGAGGTGGTAGAGTGTTGGGTTAGAATTAGCCAAATTGTATGTATGTAAATGATGATAAATAGTCATAGCATTATTTATGTAACACTTTTTATGCTTCAAAAGCTCTCCCGTGAAGTGGGCCTATTAGGATGGTGTTTTTTATGAAGTGGCCAGTAAGCATATGTGTGACGTTTGATATATTTTATATTTCAGTGTTTCCTAAAATGAGAAATAGAGAGAAAATGTTCGCCTTTGTGCCGAATTCTTACTACTACTTATTCAGCTTTCACTGCTGTCTTTTTACTTGTGCTAGTCCACCAGCATGTAATGGAGTGAGAGAGCAGAGGTTAAACACTTCAGATAGAGCTCTGATAAAAATGTCTTGGCGTACTTGGAAAGCTGCGAAATCATGACGCATTTCGCAAACAAAGAGGATCTCCAGTTAAAGTAAAGTCAGATGGTTCTAGTGGTGATAGTAACCAGACGTCTGAAGAGTGTAAGGCCTCTAAATGGTTATGAATTCAGTGCCTGATGTCTGAGACACTGTTTTATGATACTTTTGAGAAGATTTTGCCCTAAAATGTGTTTTTAAAATGTATTCATGGTGGAGGGATACATGCAGGGCGCTGTGAGGCAAAATAGTCCCCAATAAAACTTATTTCAGATGTTCCACTATTTTCCATCATCAACATTCCATATAAACTCAGAAGACTCGTGTAGGTTCACTGGTGGTTCTGGATAGTAAATAAAATGTCTATATTTGTGTTGTAGTCATGGCGACCCCTGGTTCCCATCACCACCACTGTAAAGACATCTGAACAATTTCACACCAAACCACTCTGAATGACTTTATTGGCATCTCAGTGATCGAATTATGCAGGTATTTTTAAAGACTGCCCTTTAATATGTTTTTGAAGAAGGCAAAGCAGCCTAAAAAGAATAAAATCTGTTCTGAGAGTCGGTGCAATCCAGTGACAGCCCAATAGTTCTTGAAATTTCAGCCATTTTTGAGCTTAACTGCATTATAAACAGGAAAAAAACACTAACGTTGCAGCCAATCAGATGGAGCACCCATCACTTGATTGCGTTAGGCTTGTAAATGCTGCTCATGGATTAAATGCGTAACGTTATTAGCATAACAGCTTTGCTGCACAGAGGTGGACCTGCCTTTTCGCTGCTCAGCGAGTGCAAACACAAGTCAAACCAGCGCTGTGTTCAGCCAAATGTGACATCAGTTAACACCCCTAAAGAGCAGCAGTGATTCCTGAATAGAGTCTGTTTAATTTCGCATACATGGAAGTTATTGTAGCTTTAAAAGAGACTGGCCTGTGTTGTCGGCCACAGCTACGCCGTACATCAGCAGAGACTCCTTTCTCTAACAGCTCGTTTGCTACCCAGCTCACGTCTCATGTCTCAAATTTTGACAGCAATCTGACAGGAAGTTCTCCAGATTCACCTTAAAGACCCTGTTTTAGTACCATCAAAGTTTTATATTGTGTGTTTTAAGTCGCTCTGCTCACTCCTGTATTATTTTAATCACACTCAAGGTTATGTGGCACCATATTAAACCACATAAACAACCCACAGTGTGAAGAGTGTAATAAAGTATCACGTAAATATAATATAGTTATAGTTTTATTTGTGCTGATACACTCTCAGGAAAAAGGGTGCTGAACTGTCATTGGAGTGGAACCGTCTTCACTGTTTTTAGTTAGGGGTCATAATTGTATCATATTCCGTTATAGTTCTGTATTTTAAGTTGTACTGCCTCCTCACACTCGCTCTCGACCCCACGTTTAATTTATTGTTCCGTTTTAAATCATTAGGTCGTTAAAATGATGGAATTATGCACCTTTCACCTGTAAAAACATATTTAAGGTACATAGTTGAACCCTAAAACTGTAGTTGAACCTTTGACAATATATTTACATTGTTTATACGTTGAAAAACGGGAAATGTACCTGCACAACGTATTTGCTTTTCCATTTTGTATTCAAAAATAAATTCGCCACATTTACTAATGTTCAGTAATAATCATTTAATAATGCTTTACTGTGCGGATTTACTAATGTTTGGGCCGTCACAAACTCCAATTCGTTTAAAAAAAAAATAACTGATTTACTAAATGAGCGCAGTGCTTCTTTAGCGTCCAGCAAGCAGTCAAACAGGTGCTGCTCTTTTGCGCTTTTGCTTAAATGAATGTGCAAAACACTAGGAGGAGATGATCAGAATGAAGCACGTACTCTAATTTACCGAGACTGGTGGTGAATACTGACTGCGTTATTGAACGCATGAGAAAAGCTCTTATTTTTGGTGCTAACTTAACACAAGGAAAACGAGGCGGCTCATCCGAACCGCACTCACAGGGGGAAAGAGCAAAGGGACTTAAGATACACTAACCCAGGACTAAATTCGTAAGAGGGGAGAAACAGATGCAGCGCACAGTGGAGACACTTGGTGAGATGCGGGAGGACTCGAGTCAGGAAGCGTCCCGCAGCACAGGAGACCTCTCAGCAGCTGTTCCGGCCCAAAGCCACAGGAGCGAACTCTCCTAATGCCACCCCAGGTACCCAGCCTGCGAGAGGGAGAGTGAAATGGCCCTCAGCGAGTGACAGCACAGGATTGCAGAGGGTTCTGGAACAGGTGGGAGGAGTTGACCTGGAAGCTGGGCATTGACTGGCCATCGCTGCCGACCCGCCAACTGGAGGATCAGAGTCGAAACGTCTGAGGAATGTTGGACGCCACCTGACGGCATCTTCTCCTGGCTAAAAGCTACAGCTATAAGCATCTAATAACCATGATTTGTGCTCAGGGAGAAAAAAGAGAGGTTTTCAAATGCAGTTACTTAGGCCTTATTCACACATGCTATGTCTGCATGGTGAGAGCGATGCTGCAGTGTAAGCGCTACAGCTCAAGGCCTTCACACGTACAGTGTTTGTGCTGTGGAGCGGAGCAGCGAGGAGGTTATACACACATTCCTGTTTCCAGACAGATAAAAGGTCACTTCAGTCACTCTTCTTAATAGAAATACAGTTTATAAAAGTGCACGGTATGTTTGTTTATCCTCGACAGCATTTTGTCTTGTGATTAGGCAAAAGTTTCAAACCTGGTAGACCACCTGGGAAATCTGTCTGTAGCACAGAATGTTTAACTAGAATTTCGTTGTGAATTAAATCACATTTAAAAATAGCATTTTTTAAGTATGTATACAGTTTAAGATTTAATTGTTAATCGTTTTCACGGCTTATTTTAATGTATTTTGCTGCAAGGTGCAGCGTCATGCAGAAAAAATCGGCGCTGGATAGATTTTCTAAATATCGGAACACTTCAGTGTGGCGTCTGGAACGCTCTGCCGCTTCACACGTGCAGCATGTGTGAAAACGCTGACCACTTAACTTGGGCGCCAAAATGAAACTCAGCACAGAACCATCGGCCGAAAATGAGCATGTTTCAAAACAAAGTCTCACACATCCCTCTGGCCTCGACTCGCATGGGGACTCCTTTTCCCAGAACCCTTTTGGGAGATCGTTTGACTGTTGAACCTCCTCGTTCAACCAATCATTGCTCCAGCTCTCCGGAATACTCCTGAAAACTCGTTACACCTGTGTTATGACTAGCTATAGTTTAGTGTATAAGCCCAGGCTTTAGAGCAGTACAGTTGGGAGGTGAGCGTTTCCTGTCTGTTATCGGTTACCATTTTGATGTATTGGACTATTTTTCGGGTTCTGGTGATGTTTGCACTCTTTTGCCTTTTTGCTATTTTGGATTTGACCTGTCACGTTATGGAAAGTCAAAATAATTTCTGACACTGCAAATTAATGTCTTACTTTCTCAAATCGTCAATTTATTATGTTGAAATAATCAAATAATCTTTAAGTAATTTTTGGCCATCATTATTTTGACTTATTAAGAAATAATGACATACTAAGTCATTATTTTGACCTAATGAGTCTCAATTTAATCCTCAAACAAACAAAGTCTTTTTTTTTTTTTTGAAGTTGTACATGTGTTTGTTTGGTAGTTCTTAGTAGAGAACCTGTTAAATTGGCCACGCCCACCAGCTCAGAGTGTTGGTAGCTTCTTGGTAATTAGCGCCTCGCTTAGTAAATCTGCCCCTAGACTCCAAGTTTCAGCTGCAAAATTTCATTCCAGTTCATCACTTAAGCATTTAAGATATATAAGATATCTTAAGATACTTGAGACGTTTTATGCAGGCGGCCACATGTATGCACCTGGAACATAGAAGCACCTTTTTCCACAAATGTCTGGAGTTCTTTATCATCATGTGATCTGCTCTTAATTCATTTTGTCAGGGAACTTTGTTTGCTTCTCTTCTCAAACCTTCAACATCGTGCCGTCTCTCTTTCCGCCCCACCGCTTCCTGTTGCACCCAGGTGTGAACTGCGAGTTCCTGCCGTGTGAAGCGAACAACCCGTGCGAGAACGGGGCCGAGTGCGTGGAGGAGGCCGACCAGGCGCGCTTCCCACTGGGCTTCCGCTGCCGCTGCGCCCGGGGCTTCACCGGCCCCCGCTGCGAGCTCAACGTCGACGAGTGCGCCTCCAGCCCCTGCCTGCACGGCTTCTGCTACGACGGTAAGCACCTCTGTCTTCTCTCCGCACCCCAACAGCCCTCAGTGTACGTGTGAAAGTCGACCCCCTACCGGCCCTTCATACATGCTGACGTGAACCAGCAATCAAGCATTATTACTGTAGTGGACCTGCGGGAGTCGTACAAACATCCGTATGTTTTGGTTCTTAGTGTTGGTGCCGTATAAGAAGAATAGTAACAGTAATGGAATCGGGCAAGTTTTAACGCAGCATCAGATTGACGTAAATAGTTACTGAGAAATGAAACGCTGTTTCTTAGAAATGGAATAATGCTCACTGAGAGTGTAATTGGCTAGTTTCTTCAACTATAACACATTTGATTGGCAGAGAAAGTGCTCAGTCACTCTGCAGCAGACCAGTGTTGTCAGTTAGTACAACCCAGTACGTTTGCTACTAGCAGCCTCCAACTGCTGCAGAACAGAAAATCTGCAGTTAAAACACAGACATTAGCTCCACTAATCAGCTTATAAGGACAGTGGGTGTGGCTGAGCGTCCAGCTTTACCCTAATATTTATCTTGGAATGAGGGGAGGAAGGCAAAAAAAGAGTAAATGTTAGGAATGCATGAAATTTCGGTGACTGAAAATGGTGAAAATTGGTGCTTTTGTTTTCTGATAAAAAAACATACAAAGTTTAACTAGGCTGGAAATGAAGTGTCCAAGTCTTATACTTTATACATATAATCTTAGTGGTAATGGAAATGAGAAGTAGGGGTTAAAAACGCTGCTACGGTCACTGTCTTGTTGCATTTAAACAGCTGGGCTGGCAGCAGTTTAGCAGTAAAAATGTGGGCCGTATTGGATTTCACGATTTCTGCAAGAAACATTAGACAAGCGGTTTGTATTTACTGTTGACAGTGAATATTAAGACGCACAAGAACGTCTTTGTTACAGGTTTGATGTCACTTAGAAAAACACATCATGCTCTAAACATAACATTTAAAAAAGTTAAAACAAAGCCATTATCGCTAAGCCATTATTTCGACCTAATGAGTCACAGTTTAACCCTGAAACAGACAGTAAGTCTGTTTTTAATCATACATTGCAGAAATGGACTTTCATACAAACAGCACATCAGCCAGACATTTTGTTTGGTAGTTTTTATAAAATAGCCTGTTAAATTGGCCACACCACCAGCTCACACTTCACCCCTCGCCCCTTAGCCCTGCATTTGGCGTGTTCAGGTCTAGGCGTAGGGTGTCCTGATTCTTGTTGAGATAGAGGGGGAGGGTGAAGTGTTGGGGCTACATGACCCTCCAAACGGAGGTTTTTCAGACTCCAAACAGAGAGATATGAGAAAAAAAGATAAACGGTAAGATGGAGAACAAGAGACCAAAGAAACCCACAAATACGAGAATTTTCTCTGTTAAAAATTACAATAACCATCATTTTATCTTAGTTTAATGTCATTTCAATGTATTTTGGTCCTTTTCTTCATAACAAGCATAAAATATTGCTAGTAGTGCTGACGTCTCAGTAGCTGGCTACATTTCCCGTTCCACCTTAAGTGGTGCAGCGGTTCTGACGCCTGAAGCGCCAGAATGTAACTGCTGCTCCATTTAAGGTGGAACAGGAAAATTCGAACAAGAATCTGGTGAATATCTGACTTCAGCTTCATATCACTGAAGAATTAGGGGTGGGTGATAATAAATAACTGCCCCCTCTTTGAAGATCATATGATGCCCTAAATGTAACTAAAGCCCAGCAGTGAGGAGCTGAACTTTACCCTCCTCTGCTGTCACTGCAGACTGGCAGGGTCGCCTACAGAGCAGCGCTGGTAGCTGTTAATGAAGTGCTGCTCTTTTTATTTGAGGGTCCCATTTCAGAGGGAAGATTTCAGACGCTACCCTGTAACTCAGTTCCAAGGGGCGACACTCGAAAACAAGGGGTAGGGGTGAAAAGAAGAAATGGGACCTAAAAATCTGTGAAAATATTTGAAATTATTCTCTTTCTGATCTGATCCAGCCCTGTAGTCTCTGTTCTAATGAGGTGCCTTCAGCTAGAGTCGTTTGCATGCATGCATGTAAGAAGCTGTGCTGGTTTATGTTCATGAAAGTCACCAAAAAAAAATGACAGCCTTCTGATTTTTAAATACATTAATCAGCTTTTCCTGCGAAATCTTTTAGAAGCGCTCACTTCGGCCCCTTTTCTTGGTCCACCAGTCGACGACCCTGACGTAGGCCGCGTTATCCGCGTGTGAGAGTGGATCAGCTGGGCGTAAACGGTTCACTGTAATTTTAATAATGGATGATAAATGACAGAGTTAATACAATCAAAGCCCAAAGGCAGCGTGTTGTTTTTCCTCCCTCGGCAATCCGATAATCTTTTTTCCCCCTTCTGTGTTTCGTCCCCGGCATAAATCATTAAGAAAGCGATAGATCAAAGAGATGTTGTAGGTCAAGAATTACACATCGCAAAGCAATAAATAATTTAACCCTCATTGCGAGGGAACAAGTTTCTTATTTACTTATTTATTTATTAATTTTGTCAAATTCTTTATTTATTAGTTTTAAGGAGATGAATCTCAGCAGACTTGACATACGCTGATGATTGTATGGTTCAAACTGGAGATGCAGAAACATTTTAATGAACATAAATTTCTCTGTTTCTCCCCTGAGTTCTGTGAAGTGCTCTCCTCGCGTATAGGAGGTGACATTTTCATTTAATCTTTTAATATAAACACACAGCCAGTCTGCTTCAGTTTGCCTAACATGGCTTAGAATATCCTTAGAACATGAAACAAACACTTGAACATGCATAGTAACGTTAATCTTAGGACATACAGTACAGCATTCAGCCCACACTCTGAGTTAAAGGTGCTAAACTGTCACTGGGCTGGTTCCCTCAAGGCTCCATCTCAGTACCTTCAGTCAGGGAACATAACTGAACCATAATCCACTGAAATGATATGTTCTAAGCTGTACTGACTCCACACACCCCGTCTCGTCTCCAGGCTTTTATTTTACTGTTCTGTTTAAAACATTCGGTTATGAAAAGGTACAAATACGAACTTTTCACCTGCAGTTTCCACAGTGTCCTCTTACCTCAGGTATATTCGATTAGTGAAGATGTGTTTGGTGTCCACTTTGTGGTTCTTTAGCTTAGAGCTGGAGCCTATGAGGCTAACGTTGCAAGAAACACTAAAAGTCAATAGTCACCCAAATCTTTTCTGTAACTTCACCTCCCAAAACATCTGTCAGCCCACTCAATGTCCACGTCTTCATTAAGGGCAGAATTGCATAGTAGGTTCGGTGAAGGGTTTTATGTTGTACGCTGCAAAAAATTGTGTCTTGTCAAGTGAACAATATATCCGATATATCTCCTGTTGAGACTGTTGTAAGTTTAACTTATTTCCAAATTTTTTTTACCTGTTTTAAGTAATTTTATTAAGTAAAAGTTTTATTCACTGATTATCTGCCAGTATAGTGAGATCGTTTTACTTAATAAAATTATAACCCCATTTCCAAAAAAGTTAGGACGCTGTGTGAAATGTAAATAAAAACAAAATGCAATGATGTGTAAATCAATTAAACCCTATATTTAATTGGCAATAGTACAAAGACAACATATCAAATGTTGAAATTGAGAAAGGTTTTTGTTTTTTTTTTAAATTTGTTGCCAACAACACATACCAGAAAAGTTGGGATGGGGGAACAAAAGGCTGTTAAAGTTGTGTAATGCTAAAAAAACACCTGGTGTTTGATTGGCAACCGGTCAGTAACATGATTGGGTATAAAGAGCATCTCAGAGAGGCGGAGTCTTTCAGAAGTAAAGATGAGGAGGGGATCACCACTCTGTGAAAGACTGCACCATCAAATAGTGCAACAATTCAAGAATAACGTTTCTCAACATAAAATAGGAAAGAACTTCTGCTTTTCGTCATCTACAGTACATAATAACATCAAAAGACTCAGAGAATCTGGAGAAATCTCTGTATGTAAGGGTCAAGGCCGAAAACCAGTATTTGCTGGCCGTGATCTTTGGGCCCTCAGACAGCACTGCATTAAAAACAGACATGATTCTGTAGTGGAAATCACTGCATGAGCTCAGAAACACTTCTGAAAACCACTGTCTGTGAAAACAGTTCATCACTGCATCCACAAATGCAAGTTAAAACTCTAAAACACAAAGAAGAAACCAAATATAAACAGGATCCAGAAACACTGCCACCTTCTCTGGGCCTGAGCTCATTTAAAATGGACAGAGGGGAAGTGGAAAAGTGTCCTGTGGTCTGATGAATCAACATTTGAAATTCTTTTTGGAAATCATGAACACTGTGTCCTCCGGGCTAAAGACCACTCAGCTTGTTATCAGTGTACAATTCAAAAGCCAGTATTCATGATGGTTTAGGGGGCATTAGTGCACATGGCATGGGTGACGTGCACATCTGTGAAGGCACCATTAATGCTCATCGATATATATATATATATAATATAATGTTTTGGCAACATTTGCTGCATCCAGGCAACGTCTTTGTCATTGTCTTGCTGAAATAATCAAGGCCTTCCCTGAAAAAGACCGGTCACCACTGATAATATTTGCCGCATTATGAAATTAAAAATACAACAAATGAGCCCCTGAACTGTTGAGCAGCTGAACTCCTGTATCAAACAAGAACAGGAAAACATTTCACTTTCTAAACTACAGCAGTGCCTCCTCAGTTCCCAAACACTTACAGAGTGTTGATAAAGAAGAGGTGATGAAACACAGTGGTAAACAGGCCCCCGTCCCAACTTTTTTGGAACGTGTTGTTGCCAATAAATTCAAAATGGGTATATATTTTTCAAAAAACAATAAAATTTCTCAGTTTCAACATTTGATTTGTTGTCTTTGTAGTATTTTCAATGAAATATAGGGTTTGTTTATTTACACATCACTGCATTTTGATTTTATTTACATTTTGCACAGCGTCCCAACTGTTTTGGAAATGGGGTTGTACTCAAAACATGTAAAAAATGTCTAATTAAAATAATAATTAAAACTATTGCATAATATAAGTGCACAACTATCTCAAAATAAGCAATATTAGATATATTGGCTAGAATTAACACAATGTTACTTGAAAAGATATTATTTTTTGCAGTGTATTAACTTAAGTTTGAGGCTGATGTAATTTCAGAACACAAGCAGTTCTCTGTGTCTGGTTTGCTTGAAAGTTCAACACGACGAACTTCGCAAATATTTACCCTGTAATCACATCAGCGCATTAGCTGGCCCGAACATGCTGTTTTGATTTATTGAGGAGCAAAAAATCAGGGTGGGTAAAAGAAATGAGGAGAGATTGCCTGCGAGGAGCGCTAGCTGCTCTTTTATCTACACCGAGACTTCCATTAACACCAGCCCCCATCGCAGGACATGCTCCTCAGCCCCTCCACCCCCACACCTGCGGGCTGCGGGAGCTGCTGGACGCGGGGGGAGGAGGTGCGCGGGGGGAGAAAGAGGTGTTTCTCGGCGGCAGCTGGTATGAGTAATGCGGCTGCCACCCAGGACCCCGAGCAGTTAATGAGAGCAATAGCAGCTACACACGCGGAGCCGGAGTGACAGCGCAGATTACGCGCTAAATCTTTGGCATAATGAAGAATCCTGGGACACGAGGAGCCAGGCCTGCAATAAATTCGCTCCTGGAAGAAGCCCACAATTACCGCTGGCAGCGGCTGCCTGTGTACGGCCGTCAGAGCTGCGGAAAGGCAGGAGACGCGTCTCTCTTAACATCGTTACTGATTAAAGGCTCGAGAATTGGGTTATTAGCCTCTGGTAAGGCAGGTGAGCAGGAATTCTAGCATGTGGAAAGCCTGTAAAGCAAGTCACCACAAAACTCCTCGTGGTTAACATGAAGTCCGTCCTTCTCACCGCGGCGATGCGCTAAGTGACGAAGGAAATGCAGTTACTCTTGAACTGAGTGCTGCCTTTTGCACAACAGCCGCAGACGAGAGGATAAAGCTGCTCAAACATTGGTGCAAACTCAGCAACAGATCCCATTCAGTGTCTATGGGGAGCGTTGAGTCCACTGTAAGCGGTAGCACAGTGCATGATGGCTCCATCACGTTGAGTTTGGGATGCAGTGCTGAACTTTACTCACTTTTCTACACACTTAACTCTATACAGTGATGTGATGGGAGCCTGGAATCAGAATGGCCTCTTTCCCGCTGTCGAGCCAGATGGTTCTCAGGGCTGTTTGGCTTGAGTCGCGTCTTGAAAAGAACCTGGAGACGGATTCACAAAAGCTTTCCTAAGAAAAACACTAAGAAATATATAAAACTGGGCCTCACTCTCCAACATCGTCCTGAGTTTGTTCTTAAGTGTGTTCTTGAGGAAGGTCCTAAGAAAAAGTCTACGTCAGGTTCATGACGTGTTCTTAAAGCGCAGAACTGTTTGTGCTCTTGAGTGTGTAGATTCTGTTCTTACCTGAGTCTTCGTCACAAGTGGGGTTTAAGAAGGAATTTCTTTGTTCTTAATTTCTCAAATATTCTCATTAGAATTGTTCCTCATTGGCCTATTCTTAAGATTTCCTTCACAAAATACTAATTGCTTGTTTGTTATTTGTCATGTAGCCTATTGATATTATGTTACAGCTCAACATAAATGAAACAATACTTACTGAAATGGTATTGAATGTTTTTTTTTTTTGTTTTTTTTTGCATTAACCAGATATTCGGTTTAATCTGATCAGCAAAATGGATGGAGGAAATGGCCTTTAGAGGAAAAGATGATCTATTTTAACAGTTATATTTTGTGAAGTTACAGTTTTAGAGGTTTACTTTGCCATTTCTTACAGTCGAAGACAAACGCAAGGCTTTCTTAAAGGGTTAGTGTCATGGAAAAATGAATTTTCCTCATTTTTTTATTAAGAGAGTTTGATGTAGTTTGTAAACATCGTCAACGTACCACAGTCTACCACTCTTCCCTCAGTCCATACGGTCAGTATATGGAAACTGAGCTGCCAAAACAGCCCACTTTGAATAAAATGTTTTTGTGATGTCACAAAATAACACATTTGCATACATCTGCCTATTCAGCTTGTACAAGTTTTGCCCCACCCACTCACACTGAAGTTATAAGCAGTGTTTCAGCCCAGATTGCTTAATTTATATAGCCACTATGCACGGCAGCCAATCAGAACAAGGGTTGTTTGCATATGTCAGTCTCAAAGGTACATGTACAACAAACCTCGGAGGAAAAAAGAAAATGTGGGATATGTACGGAATCCAGAGGCCATGAGCTGTTTCTGTAATTCTCTGGACTGATATCCTGAGATAAGTTAATTATCTTGTGATCTCAAGTGAACAACTTTATCTTGAGATCACAAGATAAGTAACTCATTATCTGAAGTGTAATAACTTTATCTTGAAATCACATGATATGTAACATGTTATCTCAAGATAATGACTTTATCACAATCTCACAGGATAATTAACTCGTTATCTCAAGATAACAACCCAGAAAATTATAATACCTCATGGCCTGTTCAGACTTCCATAGATATGCACTCTTTTTAGGTTCTGATTTTTTCTCTAAGAAAACTAATTTTTCTTAGAGTTGTTTTTAAGAGAGAAGTTAAACAGAAATGAAGACGGTTCCTAAGTTTCGTTTAACTTAAAAAAGCGGCTGAGTTAACTTGAAATGTTCATTAAAATTAAGTTAACGAAAGTGAAACACCAACAATCTTTTCTTAACCTGATTTTACAGTTGAGCGAATTGAGAGAGACACATTTCAGAAGCTTCTCTTTCTTGAGACTTTTGTGAACCTGCCCTAACTGAGGACCGTGTCCTTCTGTGTCCTGCAGTGGTGGACGGCTTCTACTGCCTCTGTAACCCGGGATACGCCGGCGTCCGGTGCGAGCAGGACATCGACGACTGTGTGGACAACATGTGTCAGAACAACTCCACCTGCGTTGACCTCCACCTGGTGAGTCTGGACTGACCTGTGGATCCACATGTTCCTCTTGGGACATCTGTCTTGAGTGATGTCGCGCTCTAGCTAAAGCTGAAAAGGCTGAATGATGTATTAGAGCTAAATGAGATGTTCAGCTCACTGTTCCTCGCTCAGTGGGCGAGAGAGAGCGGCCATTTCATGCAGCAACAAAAATGGCTACTAGTAAAACGATTTTGTCTGTTTTTATTAAAAACAAAAATTCTGCTTGGTTTGTTCAATATAAGTGAATAGTATTGACATGTAGACCATATTGGGGCCTGTATGTCTTAACAACCAGTTTGCCTTCTAGAAATTCACTTGCTGTGCTAAAGTCATTGCACTTCAGTCATCAAATGGTCACAAATGTCCAAAACATTGTTTATACTGTTTGGAAGTATTTATTTATTTATTTATTTATTTATTATTAACAGTATTTTTTTATCCATGGGTGTAACGAGGCAGAATAACTGACATTCGCGGTTAAAAGAAGAGAGTGAGGCTTTAATGTTCGAGTCGTAATCCAAAAACATGGTCAAAAAACAGGCAAAGGTCGAAACGAACAAAGTCCAAAGACGAGACTAAAAGCCTGGGCTCTATACTAAGCTAATGATCTCAGAACAGGTGTAACCAGTTAGTACTCAGGCAACAGAGAGCGGTGATTGGAGCGAGATGGAGGGCTGAGAATCATGTGATCCCCCTGGGGGTTCTGGGAAATGGAGTCCCCAGAGACCTCTGAGCCTGAGGGATGCGTGACAGTGGGTCTACGCAAAGTCAGAATCACAGACACTTGTATACGTTCCATGTTTTACATCATAACATGAACTGAAATAACATTAGAAAAAAGAAAAAAAAACAAATAGATAGTTACACGTTAATAAATAGGTCAGGAAGAAAACAAACAAATACAGATATTGGGATTTAAGCTATTTGAGCTAAAGAGTGACGTTCACATAAAAGAGGGGAGGGGGCGCTAGTTAGTGGGGAGACATTCCAGCTTCTCAGAATATCTAGTCATGGAATCCCAAGTTCTGTGGAATTTCACAGAAGCCTTTTTTAGATGAAAACTTAATGTTTTCTAATTTAAGGAAAAGCATAACATCGCAAAGCCACTGGGGTTTTTGGTGGATACGGTGATTTCCAGTTAATCAATATCTTCCTCCTGGCCAGAAGAGAAGCAAAGGCCACGGCCTCCTTAATCCTACTTGGAATTTTTGAATGTGTGTTAATTAGCCCAAATAAGCTTAGTTCAAATCTCTAGATCAGATACTTCTGATGAACAGTTAGTTATTGCCCACCACACAGGACAAGTCCAAAGCTATTTTATATTTTTTAACAGAATATATAAATACAGTTTGACATCATTTTTCCACAGTGGCTTATTTTCATCTGCTGTTTTCTGGGAAGGTTGATCTTTAAAAATAACATCACTGAGTAGCTTCAACCAAGAGACATGACTAAAATCAGACTAAACGTCTCTAACTCTGCTCCCTAACTTTCTCCTGCAGTTGGTACGGTCCCGTCAGTGCCTGGGACATATGCAGATGAGGGCGCTCCTGATTGGGTGCCCTGCTATTCATACAAACATAATGCCAAAATATAGGAACATGTGACTAGTTAATTATTAGCATTGAGCTAGCATAACAGCTTTTGTGTACTTACTTCTGTCATTGTTTCTGACTGTTATGCTGTTGATCTGAACTGGCTGAGAAACGGTGCTGTTGGTCTTTTCAGTTGAGCGATTGTGGAAAATACTTTTTTTGCTGTTTGCTTCTGTTTGATTTGAGTTGGTGGAACTAAATTTGTCTCTGAGTCCCAGACGAAACTCCCAGCAAGCAGCTTATTTAAGCTTTTCTAAATGTGATAACAGTGCTTGTTATAAAGGTTGTTTGTAGTGTAGCTAGACTCTGCTTCTTACTTGCGTTAGCAACCTGTTGCAGGATCTTACTATAAGAGATTAACTTCATTTACGAGAGCACGATAGCTAGCGGTCCACCTTAACTGGAGGAATAACATGATACATTAGCTTAGTGCTACGTTAGCTACCCTCCTAACATCCAGGCTCACAGAGTTCCCCTGTTATTGTGCTTCACAGGCACGACGTACAGTAAGACACGAGAACTTTCTATACCGCGTCTGCAGACATGACCGTCTAGTCCAGCGGTCGGCAGCATGCGGCTCTTTACCTGTCCTGTTGCGGCTCCACAGCTGAATCAGATTTGTAGGTAAAAATAAAATAATCCTCCTTTACAGTAAAATAAAGCTCTGCTGATCGTTCAACACAGTTTAACAATAAATGGTCTTAAACTCTGGAGTTAATGTAGAACTGCTGATTCACCCTTTAACCCTGAAGATCAGCGCAGACTGCTGGTCACCATAGCAACACAGACAACAGTCTCGCCTAGTTAGTAGCTAACGAAACGGCAAAGAGAGAGATTTAAGATGAACATCAATAATTTGGAGATGAATGGACTGATTTGTGTTTATAGTCACTCCAGCTGGTTTCCTGATACGTTTAATCTGCAGCGAGAAACTGACAAACACTAAAAAGTCACAAAGCTGAAGTCAGTTTTTTATTCGCCAGCTTTGTTTGAATTTTCCCGTTCCACCTTAAATGGCTTTTGAGGAAAAGTTTCCTGCTGGAGATGTGAGAAAAGCAGCTATAGCTGAGCTAAAGCTTAAAGCAGAGCAAAGTAAGTCTGTGTTTCATTTATATTATATTTTAAGTCTATACTAGAACATCAGCACATACTGAGACACATTTACAGCCAAGATGGTAAAATGGACATAAAATGTTTTGGCTCCCAAGATGGTTTGATTTTTGTAGAAAGGACAAAATGGCTCTTCTCAACGTTTGGGTTGCGACCCCTGGTCTAGACCCATAACAGGAGCTCAGAGTTTGAGGAATATGTTCGTGATCTAACCATCATGAGATGAAAGCCTGAAAGATGAGTTCTCCAACATTGGCTGTATTGACCATCACACAGCTTCTTTTCTTCTTTGCACTTTGTACTCTCCATTCTGAGAGTGAGGGAGGATCTCGTACGTGTAGGACGGAACCACACTGATTCTGCTTACTGCTGCCACTGATGTTGGGTTGTTCACGTTGCCTGGGAGACAGCACTGTCAATCATTTTCAGTTCTGACACGCCCACACAGTCCTAAGCAGCAGCAGTTTTTGGAGCATTCTGCTATTAAATTGTCCTAATTCTTGAATATAACCCTATTAAATGCTCATCCCGCAGCATATCTTTACTATCAAACAGTATTTTAAATGTTGACAGGGGCTTTAAATGATGAGACTAATACGACTTGCTCGATATGCTGGGTAAATGAGCTCTTTAAAACAATCTGTCTATCAAACGTGAAGCGTTTAGGACGTTCTGAAAGAATTCAAGCCTCTTTTTCTCCCAGAAGAGATGAGTTCTTTGTCTGTACGTTAAATGTCATGGAAATGTCATTATACGTCACGGAAAAATCATGGAGTTCCACCGATTACAAAGTATATGACCCCTGACGTGGTATAGCTTCAGGTAATGAAAAATAGCCATCAGCCATAACGTGCCGTGAGAAAGTTCAATATAGAGTGTATCTCCAGCATTATTTGACAAGATGATTTACTGAAATAGGTTGTCATGGCAGTTTGGCTGAGATGTTATCTGCTGGGAAATGACTCAGCGAAAGGTATCTAATAGCATTCCCAGCAGCCACCTTGCAGCTTTGCTTCAAAGTGCCTTCAGTTAAATTGACAATGACTTTTTTTCTGACTTCCATTCTTGGTTTTCTTCGTTTTTTCTCTCATGACTAATAATCTTCTGTTTTTCTCTGTAATTTCAGTCATTTTAGCCTTGGCACTTAATTAAGCCCTTCTTTGATAAACTGAGGAGCAACATACTGCAAGAGCGCATGCACTGGCTGCGCAAGAAATTAGAATCGGTCTTGCTGTTTCTGTTTAACCAAGTAAGAACAAATACCTGCAAAGGCTTTGCCGACTTAAAGCAGCTGTTTGCTAATGATGTGGGTGTGTTTTGTGACACTCAGCGTCATTTTCCCAAACGATTTTAGTGCAGACTGGAACTCTTGTTTCCCAGACAAGGTTTAAAAAACAGAATTTCTAATATTTTCCTGAACAATTACAGTTGTGATAAATGTTTTCCTCAGAATAAACCTGGTTATGTTGTTGCAAACAAGGACAACGTATACCCATTTGTATTAACTGAGCTGTCAGTTATTGAGCTTGTTATTGTTGGTTCAGATGTTATTATGTAATCCCAGTTGAGCAGTGAGTACACGTTTTTCATTTTGAGGATAGTATAAGTAGATATAAAGATAATCCACTTGCACACAGAAGGAGAAAATAAGTAGAAAAACAAGAGCTTCCAAAACTGGAGCTCAAATAAGCTATAAAGAAAATGTGTCTCCTAACAACCACCTGGAAGACCTGGTCGACCCCAAAACTGCCCCATCAGATAAACAGCACTGAAAGCTTTCATCTCTGAGAGAGAGGAGAAAATCAAGTGGGTTTTTGTGTGATTTTCAGATAATTGTGCTTTTTCTGCTTTTTTTCCTGATTCTGAAAAACAACTAACTTGTACTTACTGGCTGATTCGTACGGAGCCCTGCTGGCGACATCCTGTATAAATAAAAATAATGTGTGGCCACGACTTAGGAAGGCATGATCTCATTCCCAAGCTTTACTAAATCGTGACCACGACTTAATTATCTCATTCCCATACCTTACTTGGTCGTTGCCACACATTAGGATCTTGTTCCCACACGCTAATAAGGAGTGGCCACACATTAGGATCTTGTTCCCACACGTTAATAAGCCATGGCCATGCATTAGGATCTCGTTCCCACATGTTAATAAGGCATGGCCACGCATTAGGATCTCGTTCCCACACAAATAAATCGTGGCCACGCTTTAGGATCTCGTTCTCACACATTAATAAGGCATGGCCACATGTTAGGATCTTGTTCCCACACATTAATAAGGC